GAAGAAGGGTCTAGGCCCGAAATGTCAACCTTCCTGCTCCTCTGATGCTGCTTGGCCTGCTGTGTTCATCCAACTCTACACCTTGTTATCTCAGATTCTCCAGCATCTGCAGATCCTACCATCTCAGAAAATGCAATATTGCCCATTTTATATCCTCACTGAATTTGGAACTTCTGCCCCAAGCTGTAATACTGTATAGGAGAAACTTTGGAACTAAGTACTGAATAAAAATTCAGGACATTTCTATGTTTAGAGTCAAACTAAAAGCGAGTCTCTGTAAGGGTTATGTGTTAGCTGACATTTACTCCACTGGGTTACAATTACAGTGCAAAAAGTCATAGAGCAAAGGAATCACTAGCAGGTTAAAGATAGCCCTCCAAGACGTCTTGCTACCAACATGCCTGAGGCAATTAAGACACACTTTAAAATAACTAGCAGTAAGCCTGTTCTAATTCCAAGTATAACAAATGAGTGCACATCTAAAATGATAAGGTTTCAAGCAAGCTCATAAAAAAATTCTTGTATATTTCAGTCCTAAAATTTGTTTGGAAGTTTGAAATAATCGTGAGATAAATCCTAACAAAAACCACAACTGATATTTAAATGTACATTAAAAATCTCCCCTGATGTCTCAGTCAGTAAATTTATCTTGTGGTGTGGCACTTAGCCATACAAATGAGGAATTCCAGATTTGATCCCTGGTTTGTGCTGAATCAACTGGTGTCTGCTGAGGTGCTAGGTACTAATATTGGTCTTGATGTCCCAGACTAGGTAAGGGGACAAAAAAAAATCACCATGCAATAATGCTTGTTGTGAAAAAATATTTTAATTGACCTGTTATGAAACATTTTCACGGCAGGGAGTACTTGTACTTAGGCATAGAGGCACTAAACAACAAGTAAATGCTCTCTATCTCTAATCTATATACATCAAGTAATAATTGTGCTCAGATGTCATGCGCATGTCCCTCTTCTTCTCCACCCCCACCTCCACCATAGTTAAACAATATGCTTAAATTTGGTGTCCGCATTGACACTTGAAGAAAGGCTACTTGAATGAGCTAGTGGAGGTGCCCCAACACATGCCCCAGAAAGAATTGTACCCTAGAAAGGAGGAGTACTTTCTGGAAAGGAAACTGAGATTAAATTAAGATTAAGCCTGATAGTTACGTAGTTCTGCACAGTGAATATACTAATTAAGGCTTTAGGCAAAGGAGAACCCTCCTTAACCATAATTTTATTTTGGGTTTTAAAGAATGCAATATATTTGTTCAAGCATGTTCTGCTGACAAGAAAGGATCCATTTTAAAATACAAAAGGAAAGTTAATGCTGCTCCTATCTCTGACTGACAAAATAGCAGAATGAGCAAAATGCAGACTATTCTGATGCCTCTGATTGCCTTTTGAAAAATGTTATCCATCTTTGAGTTCAGTTTCAAGTTGTGTTGGCAGTGTACATATTCTGCTATTTGGATTTTTAAACAACAGAGCGGATATAACTACAAATTGCATTTAGTCATAATTAGTGTTGGAGCTATACAGAAAGACAAAGGCAAGACAGAAAGAATTAGGAAGTAGCAAAAACACAGAGACAGAGTTATAGAAAGCAACATCCTGGCAAATAGGTCTTTAAAAAGTGAAAAAAATCTAAAAGACTATTTAAAAAATTTTTAGTATCATATTACGTTTTGGTAGCAAATTATGTGCATGAAGCTGAAGATAGCATTGCACACTATACAAACAGTAGCCATTGTCAGGTATGCACAGCTGACATTCAGCTCAGTGGGCCTGAAATTATGTAAAGACAGCTTTTATGTTGCAGGATGACAATTGGAGGCAGAACATCATAATTTGGACAGGGAACAGAGATGTGAGATTATGACACATTAAAAAGAAAAAAGAGGTTGAAGATCAGGTTGTAATTGCAGAAATTAAATGGATCTAGGTGTGTGTTTTGAAAACAGGTGATGATGATGGAATTTTTAAGAGGAATAACAATGTTCTGTATAAAGGCTGATAACAATTACAAAACCACATAGGGAAGATGCATGATGAGAAGTTAGTGATGAGGAAGCATAAAGTGGATTTCATGGATGAATAGGCTTTGAAGTGGAGAGGTAGGTCAAAAGTATGATGTCCTAGCATAAAGTTGGTGGTACACTAGGGAGCAGTTAGACTGAAATTTAATGAAAAGATGTAATACTGCAACTTCCCAGTTGAGCTTGACTTTTGTGATGAAGTGCATAACCTGATATTTGATGTTTAAAATGAAGTTTGAGGGGATGACTGATCACAGGAAACAGGAACATTCTGTTGCCCCTTCCTTGCAAGATAATCTTGCAGTAATAGGCTTTGACTAGGAACAAGGTTGACCCACAATGCCATGAGAGAGGGAATTCCAGGATTTTAATTCAGCGATTCTGAAAGAACAGCAGTATATTTCCAAGTCAGGACAGTGACTGGCTGGGAGAGGAATCTGAAAACGATGGTGTTCACATGTATCTGCTGTACTTGTCCTTCGCGGTGGAAGTGGTTGTGGGTTTAGAAAGTGCAGTCTAAGGATCTTTGGTGAATTTCTGCAGTGTATCTTGTAGATAATACACACTGCTGCTACTGAGCATTAATGGGGGAGGGAGTGGATATTTGTGGACACGGTGCCAGTCCAGCAGGCTGCTTTGTTCTGGAAGGTTAAGTTTCTTGGATGTTCTTAGAGCCGCACTCATCCAGGCAAGTGGGATGTATTCCATCCACTCTTGAGGGAGATGGGGTCTATGCTAAAAAAACAATGAGCGCAATCAAAGCAGCAACAAGCATGAGAGGAAATGGTTAAACAGGTCAATAGCTACAGAAATATTAGAAGAGGAAGATGAAGGAATTTGCATGTAACACGTGAGGAGGCTATATTCCTTCGGTTAATGTAAAGGATACTGGATTGGAAGGTATATAAGATTATTCCAGGTTTTAGATTGGATATTTTCTTAAATTTTGGAGCATTTGTTACTTCCATAAATGATCAAAGTGTTTTACTTGCAGGAGTGGACTTGTGTTATTCAATATAATGCTGTTACCAGTGGTGTAGCAATAGCACCCCCTTGTGATCTAAACTTACAATATATCACACATGCAGTTCTCCATTCTTTGATAGAATGAAACATTTTGAGGACAGATCAGATATAGATCGCAATTTTTTAAACTTGTCATTAACATCAATGTTTAGTGTAACAGAACAAAGAAAATATTTCTTTAATTCATATAATTACAGAATATTTCTCAAGGACATCAAAAGTAGTTATTTGGTAGTGCAGAACTTGAGTACTGATGAAAAAAACATTTTGTCACAACTTTTCGTTTTGCACTCATCAGGACAATTCACAAGAATACCTACACTTATACTGTATGAGAAGAGAGTACTGATTGGTTGGCAAGTCCACTTGAGTGCAAGATGAAAAGTTTCCAAAAATGTGCCTTTTTTCAACAACATGAAAAATAGTAAACTTACATCACAGTATGCTTCTAAGCTGGATTTCTTAACTTCTCCAATGCAGCCTTTTTACTCTGAGGGACTTTGGGCTAGAGTTAAGACTGGTTCACTCAGTCAGGTTTCATCTTAGCTAGTTCACTGATTGCCTGTATTGCTACTTCCTTTTTGTTAACAGTGAGTAGGTGAGCTATCCTTCAGATGTCTTCTTTGCTCAATCATTTGCCACCCCGCCTCTCAATAAAACCAACTACTTCACCTTTATCTGGGGGTATAGCATTAAAAAAGAACAGTCTTGCTCTTGTAAAAAAACGAATCATACTGGTGTAGTTAACCTTGGATGAGTAACTTGAATTAGACTATGAGCAGTGACATTCTACTGGCTAAACACTCAGTTTCAATGTCTAGCTTATTAATAAACATTTTGCCAAATGGTTTCATCCATGCTTTTTTTAAATGCATGAAACTTTGTTTTTGAAACATAACAGAATGCATTTCCAAATTTGTGCCAAGAAGCCAAAAATCATTAGAAAAATCTAAAATGTGGCAAGAGAAATGGAAGTGCTTGGAGATTGTCCTGTCAGTGGTTGAAATTTTTGAATGCAAAGATGATGTGAGAGATGGCAAGTTCAAAGAGTAGGCAAGGATATGGTTGAGAAAGTTAAAATAAAGGAGGAAAGACGGGATGGTAAAATGAGAAAATTAGAGGATGTAGGAAGTTAAGGGCAGTTTAATTAAGAGAAGTTAGGAAGTTAACTGAAATCAAAGTCATGTAATGCAGATGCTGCAAGCATGAAGGTAGAATGTTTTAGTAAGAAAGATGGCACAGTGCATGAGAAAATTTCCATGTAAGATCTTAAAAGATAGGTGTGAGGGGTAGGAGAATTTGAAGCGTACAAAGAGACAGTTCCAGAGGGCAAAGGTTTGGGAAGAGGGATACATAGGTTTACCATGCAAAAATATAGACATGCAGCATTCAGTGTCAACTGTTTTAACAATGCTGCCCAGAACGGGATAGAAAGTGACAGAGTATACAAGCATGAAAAGTATCAAACAGCTTCAAAGGGGAATAAATGGTAAAAAGACAAAATTAATTGCTTTTTACTTAAATGCACAATTGTATTTACAAACTGTGTATTTATAAACAAATTGACACCACAAATAGAGGTTAATAGGTATGATCTTGTGTCAGTTATACAGGCTCAGTGCCAAGGAGATCAAAGCTGGGAATTAAATGTTCAGGAGTATCTGACTTTTTGAAAGAATGCGTTATGTTTGTATGTTTGACAGGTAGGAAGGGAAGGGTGGTCGAATAGCTTTGCTAGTACATGATGGAATAGCAAGAAATGATCTTGGATCAGATGATACAGAATCTATATGGATGGAAGTAAGAAATAATGAGAAGACACTGGTGGGAGCAGTAAAGGGACTAGCCACCTAACTGTAGCTATATTGTAGGAGAACACATGACATAAGGACATGTGAAACAGGCAATACATCAATCATTGGTGACTCTAATCTTTATGTAGATTGGGAAAATTGAATTTGCAAAGGTAGCCATGAAGAAGAATTCACAATGCATTTGGGATAGTTTCCTACGGCAATATATTGTAGATCCTACCAAGGATCGGTTTATTTTGGATCTTTATGAAATGGGACAGGTTCAATAAATGATCTCAGAATAAAATATCTCCTATTAAACAGTGATACCTAATGGGGTAGGATTTAGTTTCAGAGTGAGAAAATTGAGTTGGAAATAACTATCCCAAATTTATACAAGGGTAATTGCACAGGGACGAAGAAAAAGTTGCCTGCAGTGGACTAGGAAAGGAGTTAAACAGAAAAGACGGTCGAGGAAGAATGGCAGACGTTCAAGAAAATATTTCTTGACTCATAGCAAAGATATATCCAGTGAGGAAAAAGGATTCTAGGAAGTGGATAAACCACCATGATTAATCAAGAAAGTTAAGAATAGTATCAAATTAAAAGAAAAAATATGCAAGGTAGTTAGATTTAGTGGTAATCCAGTGGATTGGAAAAGTTTTAAAAGACAAAAGTGTCTAAAAATATAATAATGTGGGATAAATCAAGAGTAAGAGAGACCCCAAAGTTACAATTGGTCCCTAGACAATGAGGCTCTGGAATTAATGATAGGAACCAAGAAATGGAAGAGGAGTTGAACAAATACTTTGTGTCAGTCCTGGATCTGATGACTTGCATCCTAGGATATTAAAGGAAGTAGCTATATAGATAGTGGATGCATCAGTAATAATCTTACAATAATACTTCAATTCTGGAAAAGTCCCAGAGGATTGGAAGACTATCTATACAGGACCCTTATTTAAAAAGGGAGACAAAGAAACAATTAACCATAGGCCAGTTAGCTTTGCTTCTGTAATTGGGAAAATGTTAGAGTCCATTATAAGGAACGTAATAGTAGGGCATTTAGAAATACATAATATAACCAAGCAGAGTCAGTATGGCTTCATGAAAGTAAAATCATGCCTGACAAATGTATGAGGGTTCTGACAGGAGCTAAAAGCAGGACAGATAAAGGGGAGCCAGCAATGTATTTGGAATTCCAAAAGATGTTTGATCAGGTCCTGCACATAAGGTTAGTTGATAAAGACAAGAGTCCACGATGTTTGGGGCAACAGATTAGTACAGATAAAGGATTGGAAGACAGAGTTAGCATAAAGCGTGCATTTTCAAAAAGACAACCTGTAACTAGTGAAGTACCACAGGGATCACTAATAAAGCCATAATTACTCGCAATATATATTCACAACTTGGATGATAGAAGTAAATGTACTATTGTCAAGTTTGCAGATGATGCAAAAATAAGTGGGAAGGCCAGTAGTGAAAATGACACAAAGAGTCTACAGAGGGATATAAACAGGTTAGTAAAAGGCCCCAAACTAGATAGATGGAATATAATGTGGGAAGATGTGAAGTTACCCATTTTGGCAGGAACAATGAAAGTGCTCAACATTATTTAAATAGAGAAAGACAACAGAAAGCTGCAGCACACAAAAACTTGGGTGTCCTCATGCATTAGTTCCAAAAAGCTAGCATCCAAGTTCACCAGGTAGTAGGGAGGGCAAACAGATTGCTGGTCTGTATTTCAAAGAGAATGGAGTATGATAAGACGGAAGACTTACTAAAACACAAAGTACTAGCCAGACCACACCTAGAATACTGACAGCTGTTTTTGTTCTCTTATCTAAGAATATACTGGCATTGGAGGCAGTCAGAGAAGGTCCAGTTAGTTGATTCCTGGTATGAAGGGACTTTCCTATTATGAGAGGGGCAGTAGATTCAGCTTATATTCACTAGAGTTTAGAAGAATATGAGACCTTATTGAAACAAATAAGATTCTTTAGGAGTTTGACTGGGTAGCTGTGGCGAGGATGTTTCCCTTTGTGGGAGTGTTGAGGGGAAGAGGGCATAATCTCAGAGTAAGGGTCACCTGTTTTAGACACAGAGGAGGAGAAATATTTTGTCTCAGAGTACAGTGAATCTGTGGAATTCTTTACTGCAGAAGGCTGCTGAGGTTGGTTTATTAAGTATATTCAAAGCTGATACTGACAGATTTTTTAATCAGTGAGGCAATAAAAGGTCATTGGGAAAAGGCGAGAAAATGGAGCTGAGAATTATCAGGTCAGTCATGACCTCACTGAATACAGGGGCAGACTCAATGGGCCAAACTGCCTACTTCTGTTCCTACTCTAATGGTCTTAAAGTCCAGAAGTAGGGGGTCAGACAAAATTTGTCTTTAAATAAGAACAATGCCATCACCGTGGTACTTTGTGTGGTACATATTGGAAAGTGAAGTCAGTTAACAAGGCTTCTGTGAGGGGAAAGGATGCACTGACAGCAAGCCGCAAAACTTCAAGAAAATCAATCAAAATTGCAAAGTTTATGGTAAGGCTTTTTCATAATGACCAAACATCCTGGAAGTGTATATGGAAAACACAAGTGATGCTTGATCCTTTGGATCAGATAGTGGTAGAAGTGAGTGGGATAGGGAAAATGATGGAGGGATTATCCCCAAGGTTCTCAGCACCAGTTATTTTATATGGATAGCAAAGATACAGAACCAAAAAATACTATGTTTGAAATATTTTATATACTTAGCAATCAATTATCTAGTAGGTACAAAATAAAGTGCAAGATATCTGAAAGACAACAAAAGATAGAAACATTCACAGAAAAGTGTGTGTTTGTCAGTGAAAAACTTTAGTGTTAGGTTCTTTCTAGTTTCATTGTCCAATCTCAGCATTAAGTACACCAAGTCAAGTATGACAAGGTTAAATACTCTGATGTAAACTCTCCTGGGTACCTATTACTATACCATTTCTCCATTTTCCACACCAGCCAATCTGTATTTCAAAGTGATATAGTCAATTTACAGGCAGTAATTTTCTGTTGGCCAATTTCCAATGTTTGTTTACACAAGTTCTTTCCATATCAACAGAAGAATTAAAACTATTCATTAGGAAGCAACATCCAGAAGGTGAAAGCACAATATACTTGTCAACAAACTGTATTTGAAAAACCACTAGTGCAATAGCATAAAATTTTGATGATAAACATTTGAACTAGTAATACTGCTTTCCTATGAAGCTTCATAATTATGAATGCATAAAGACTCGTTGAAAATAATCAACTGACTGTTTAATTATATAGCAGCACTATAGTTTTTCAGAGTTTTCAAACAAGTTGCGTTTCTGCAACAGGCTTCCCATTATGCTGTAATGTATAACCTGCTGGAAATACCTACTGTGCTCTGAAGCAAAACAGTTTGTCATGCAGATTTTTGTGATGCTATTTTATGTTACAATGTGACATAAGCTGTGATCAGGTTGCCACCAAAAACATTAACATATTTCCAATTCAGGTTTGTAATTTTTAAAATCTTTGCAATATTGTCAATGCTTTCATAATGCAAATAAATTATGTATTTTGCTTTCGTTTCACAGATCTCTTCTCTCCGACACAAATACATATTGATTGCATGCAATTTAAGTCCACTGGATAGGTGCAATCGTTTTAACTAATGTTCTCATGAGGCCTTTGACTGCACACACATTTGGGTGGGCAGAAGAGGCCATGTTGTGTGGTATCATAGAAGATCAGTTTCAGTTTTAGTATAGCAAATATCTTGCAAACATGAGACACTGCATCTGGCGGCCTGGCCAAAAGCCCAACAGAATTCTCTTCAGCAGTAGCAGATGGACTGGACTGATGGAAGGCCGAGAGACCATCTGGTCATGCGATATGCTCCAATGTTGCTCTTTAATGCCTATGCTTTTAGGACACAGCATTAATTTCATTTTTGTGAGAACTGTGTTGTTTTAATTAGGGTGTCTTTCACAAACATATATAATGCCATATTAGATCAAACTATACTAAGCTCTGCAGAAAAGCATTATCTGTGTGATTCATAACACATTATTAATAATTTCCCTTTCGATACGTAAATACCATTATTCCATGGAACCATAATTATACAAAACCAGCAAATTAGCCAGCAAATAAACGAGATCAATTAAAAATACATTAGAAGGCATGCATACAAAAGTGTCAATTTAACTTCACACTTTGGATTCATTGCCATCCAGATGTTTAATAATGCAGCTCTTTTCTTGTGCTTTATTTCAGGTCACAATGCTTTCTGTGCAGCTGTAAATCCATTCCAGTTTTTCATTGATAGGCATCGCATGCTGGCAGACCTACAAATAGCAGGATATGAAAACAGTGAAATTAATATTTCCATGTTATTCTAAGGGAGGGGAGATATATTCAAATCTGCTGTTAATTTTGTTCTCATTCCCTCCTCTGATTTAATCTTTCCATGGTCTATGCCTAGTTGGCAGATCTTAGCCAGGGTAGTTCGGAACACTGCACTTGTCAGCATGTGAATGAAGGAGCACAAAATCAAACTAGAAAGTTTACTACTGATTAGTTTGCAGCAATTTTGATGGAGTATGCATATAGATATTGGGCTCAATTTTATCCAGGATCTGTAATGCTGCGTGTGGCCTCAATAAGTAGAGAGTGGGATTTATGCCCCTTAGTGGGAGGAGGTCCTACCATTGAGAGTTGCCAGCCAATCTGATTGGCTCTTAGCTCATACATTCCCAAGAGCAGTAGATATCACAGTTAGACTCAGGATCCAGGTTAAGTCCTGGGCTAGTTGGTTATGGAGGGATCTGCATTCTGGGGATCGGAGAGTGGGGTAGGGTGGGGGTTAAGGCAATTGAAAGCCATATGAGAAAGCACACAGGGCACCCCCTAAAGGAGATACCCTACCTTCCTTGCTGCCTTTGTGAAAAACTCTGTTTTCCTGTGCTCTCAGTATTAAGTGAGTGGAGGCAGATTGATGTTCTTAAGGGCCCCAATAAGTCTAAGGGTAAGTGGGCATCTTACCCATCACATGTATTATAGGGACCTAATCAATGATGACCAATAAGATGGTGAGGTACAAATCTACCTTTTCTATGTGGCCATCCCACCCCAAAAATAAGTCTTGTAGAAAGCCATCAATCCAGCTCATTGATCAAGGACAGGGTTGGCACTGGCCATGGTATATTTGCATTCAGCATTCTTCACAATCTCAGGATATTTCAAAGCAATTTATAGCCATTGCCACTCATGGACAAATGGCCGAGCAAAGCTCTGTCTAGGTTCTTGCCAAGGATTGTGAATTGGGCAAAAAATCAAGGGATAACCAGTGCTCACAAAATCAGTTTACAGTGGCCATATTTCTCAAGACAGATATGAAGTTGTGTCATGTCATGATATGTTACAAAAGAGTTACAGACACCGAAGATACAATGTTGTTACAAACATTGTTCATTCACGGAATGTGGACATTGCTGACAAGGCCAGCATTTATTGCCCACCCTGTTGCCCTTGTGAACTTGGCAGTGGATTGCCTTCTTGAATGCAACTGTGCAGCCTGCAGGCCATTTTAGCAGGCAGTTAAGAGTAAATCACATTGCTGTGGTTCTGGCATCACATATGGCCAAACCATGTAAGAATGACAGATTATCCAATAATCTTGTATTTTCATGGTCACTAGCTTTTTCTTTCAAATTTAGTTAGATTCAAACACACATCTCCTTTTTATTCATTCAGGTTTCTGGATTACTAATCTTGAAACATAACCAACATGTTACCATACCGCTAAAATTGCTTAATTCAACTTACTGTAGTTGTCCTTGGTGCTACTTCCACTGCAAAAATGCTAAGCCCCCGAGAACTGACACAGTTCTTACTCTGTTCGTTGTTGACATGAACAATCACTCTTGTTTCAGACTGTAAAAAAGAACAAAATGAACAAAAACTGGACTATAATAACCGCACAGCTTATGATGCTTTCTGGCGCATAACCTTTATTATATTCAGTGCATTCAAATGTTTCTTCCTAGTATGTGGAATGATTCAGATTGGCAGAAAACTGGCATTTGTAATGGTGGACATTCAGCTCCTAATATTATTGCAGCCTTGGTGTAAATATTGCAACAGATGTGGAATACGAGCCAAGTCAACTTGGAAACACTCACCTCATTCCCAAGACATCGTATAATTCCCTAGGGTATCTTCCGACGCCAGAATATACTCAGCAGTTTCATCATTTCCCTCCATCATAAGGTCAAATCATGTTGTTTGCCATTTCAACTTTATTTTCAACAACATTCAAGCTTGAACTGACACCACTCAAGTATTAGGCAACAACCAGCTCCAAAAGAGGGCATAACCAGTGATGGAAGTATCTCAAGATTGAAACAAAAATTGCAGAATTCAATAATACGCCAGTCTTTCAGTCCTGTGCTGGCATAACAGCACTAAGTATGCATGCAAATCTTGATGTGAGGCTTGAATCTATAACCTACAGACTCATAGTTGAGAGCATTTGTAGAATAAGCTAATTTGCTTCTTAAGGAGATTGCTACCAGCAAGTGAGCCTATCACGACAAGCAAGGAACAAGTGAAAAAAACTGTTCCATTGTTTGTCACTGTGACATGATCGAAATCAGGATCTCATCACTTTACTTCAGTTGATGGAATGAGTTTGAACCTTGGGAAAGAAAGGACTTGGGATTATGTTCGCTGGAAAAAAAAAGTACAATAAGACTGATATTATTAAGTAAGACTGATATTATTTCCAATGTATGTTAAAAATGACAATATACACAGATGTTACAAACTACAAAAGAAAACTCTAAATTAATCAAATAAAACAAATAATGCATACTTTATTTTCAATGACTGATGTGATTCGTGTTTCAGTCTTATAGATGTGAATCACCAAGTTGCTGCAATTCTTCATGGCTTTTGCTTCTCCATTACTTATGACAGATTTGCAGATAACTGAATTGAGCAGGTTTCCACCCGTTTCCAGACTGATTGGTGTTAACTTGAGTTTGCTGTCCTCTGCATAGATACTAATTACAAAAGGACATGCCTATACACACAGAAAGAGTATACATTTTAATGAGGAACTAGATTTCTGTACATAGAAGTCAAGATTCAGCAATTTGCATTTGTATAATGCCTATAAGATATGAAAACATTCTGAAAGCTTTACAAACAAAAAACTAAAACCGAGCTAAAGAACATCAGCTAAGAGTGGAACTCTATGGTTGCATGTTTCTCACTATTAGTGACTGTAAATTGAAGCATTGAACTAAGGACAGAACACAAACGTCATCATCCTAAATGCATTATATAAATATATTTTCCAATTGTGCATTGATACAATAAACCTAGTGACAATACTGACTCACATTTTAAAACAGCAGTTTACACCTAAACCTCATGGAGAAAAATGTAGAATGCTTGTACCTGTAAGCTTATGGATGTTGAAATTTTGCATATTTACGCACTTCTCTTCAATATTGATGAAACAAGAAACACTTTGTTAAAGCTTTTAGTCTTGCACTCATCAGGACAATTTGCAATAATACCCAATTTAAGGAGAAAACCTATACTTAGACTGTACAAGAGCAGAGTGCTGATTGTTTGACATGTGGAGTCAGATTGATAGGTGCCAATCAATGAGGAAGGCACCAATTAATGATGATTGACAGTTAAATGCCAGACAGGTGACTTTGATTGGTCAAGGCATTACCCTGAGAAATGAACTGATTATTTCTGCCTACAGTTTACCACAGTTCAGAGGAAGGGTCACCGGACCCGAATCGTTAACTCTGTTTTTTCCCTTCACAGATGCTGCCAGCCCTGCCGAGCTTTTCCAGCAACTTTGTTTTTGTTCCTGATTACTTCTGTCATCTGTTTTGTTGATTGGAAAGAGATACAGTGTATGTACATGTTCTTCCTGTCTGCAAAAAGCAAGTCCATGTGAATTAATATATGTAGCTTCCAGTGCACAAAAGTGTGCCACATAACAAGCCCAAATGATAATCCTAAATTGATTATTAGCATAATTCTTTGCACATTTAGGATTATCCAGCAAGCATTGTCCAACTGCAGAATTACTTGGATACTGTGTTGTGAATCTTACAAGTGTGGGGTGGGTGGGTACAATCAGTACCTTGCTTCTTGTAAACAGCCAAAGGAATATGCTGTTTGATAATATCCACCAGTCTTTGAGACATATGGCTTAAATACCTGGCATCATATCAGCACTTAAATTCATAGCTCACATCAATACTCACTCTATTTTTCTGTGCGTGGATCTCCATGGACCATGCGTGGTATTGACTTCTAAAACTGGAAGTCAATGGGTTGGCATGCCATTTGCCATGCATGGAACTCGGAGCAACTGAATGGCCACACAGGTTAGAGGAAACTCTGCCCAAATTCCTCATTGGTATGATAGACAGAACTCCTTTTAAGTTTGAAGGCACTGTCCTATTAGTTAACCTTTATAGAGACACAAGTCCCTGTTCTTTGCAGACAGCAAACAGTGTGGTTGTTGGTTTTTCCCCTCAAATTGATATTTTTGCATATTGATCTGGTGAGCGCAAGATGAAACAAAATGTGTTTTCAGCCCTTCTTAAGTTCTATACTACCCAATCACATCCCACTTTCCTTGCTATAAGTGGTTAATTGCTTACGGATATTAATCAAAATGAACATAAATAAACAACTTACCTCATGCATTTCTAATGTTTTGCTGTAGCCCATTGATTCAAGTGTCACCCAAAGGTCTTTTGGATCACCCTCCCGATCACTAGCTTCCATCAGGTTCAAGTCCATGAATCCCTGACGTGTCAGCTCATTTTTCCTTGTGTCAAAATTTTCTGTGTAGAATATACAAGTGGGAAGGGAAAGTATATTGAATGTTGCCCTATAAGGGATTGAAAAGCATGGTCTTCCCCAGACTGGCGTTGACCACCTTGCACTGGTCAGGTCAAGAGGCATTAGCCAAAATGTTGTAAGCAGGTGATCTGCATAATCTCTTCACTACAGCCAAAGTATAACCCAGAGTTACATGCAGCATGTGAAGAAAGGCAGCAATAAAATCAGAAGTATTTGTATTCGTTCAAAATCTTAAAACAAAATCGCTGTAAATATCTTGTTTACTTTTTCTGATCAACTGGGAGTAGCTTTATTATTTCAATTCTTCTTTCTAACTAGTTTCAGAACCTTAGTGAATCTGCATGTTCTCCGTAGCTTAAATGAGCCTCTGTAAAAGGATTCCTAAAACACTAATGTAGCTATGGCCTAACCAATGTTTTGTAATAATCTCTCATTACTCTTATACTCTTGTATTCTATGCAGATTAACATTGATGGTAGGATACGTAAACCAGAGAAGTGACAACTTTCTGGACAAAAGAACAGTTACCAAATAAAGCATTACTCCTAACAATGAAAAAATCTGAGCATTAGAGGTCCAAGCAGGGAGGGAACTGCATGGGTTCCTTGATCTAACTTTTACTATATAAGGTTTGTGCAAGGCTTCACACAGTCAGCCATCCCAGTCTGTAATTTGCTGAGGAAATCAGGGAATATTACAGGAAAGGATGGAAAAGGATGTACAAAGCGTAATACTTAACGGAACATCACAGGGAGTTGGACCCCAGCATGAAAAAACTCCTTTTGCACCTTCAAGTTGAGGCTTATCTGATCACTTGAGCTTGGCATATTTCCATCGCACTTTCATACTTGAAAATACACCAGCTTTCTTAGTTTAACGAGCAGCGCTAGCAGTGCTACCACAGGAACAAGGACAGAAAAGAATGGTTATCATTTTCGCCAGTTGCAGTCTCAAGCTGCACAAGAGGAATATGCAGAAATACTTCAGTATGAAACACGATCTGCTAGCTTTGAAGTGGGCTATTTTGCAGAAGTTTTGAGACATTCTGATCAGCGCAAAGTTTGAAGAGTTTACTGACAACAATTCAGTTAAAACAGCCGCCAAGCTTGTAGTGACAGAGATCTATTGCATCACTGAACTCACTCAGTTTTGATCCCAGATTCAGTAAGGTTGGTCAAATGTAATACAAATGCTGATGCGCTTAGTTGGAGGACCACAGGAGGGAAACCATCCCTGCCCAGCTAGAGAAGGCTTTGACTGACACTATACCCATGCCCCACTTCAATGGCAGCATTCTGGCCCCCATTCCCTATGGTATTCAGACTAAGATTCCGTGGAGTGCTATTGAGGTATCTATGGATGACATCCAAACCAGGTCCAGACAAGCAGAGCCAGGTGTGGTTTCACCTTTACTACCTATTTCAAGGGAGGACCTCAGACAGCTTCAACTTATTGATGCAGATATCAGTCCAGTGCACCATTACTCAAAAGTCCAACAAGAAAACCAACGCAGCAACAACTCATGAGGGAGTCCAAACAAATACAGAAACTACTGAGTCGCTGGAAGACGATCAGGGAGGAGGAATTAAGTCCTCTATTGGCTGTGGACAAAGAGAGAAAGGTGAAGTAATTCATCATTTCTGATAGCCTCAAGTGTCAAGATTGGCAGCAGTTCACGATCAAGCAGGACATCAAGCTTCAGAAAAGGTGACTGCCCTGACCACAGAGCAGTATTACGAGCCCACAATGGCTGCTGATGTTGATGAATTGTGGAATGTGTGTGTGGTATACTTTGGCTAAAGCAGGGAAGCAACTTCACCCCTGAATGGAATCCCTGGTTGCCAACAGACCTGTAGATTCCTGTAGAGGTCCATGCAATTAATTTTATTGTCCATGACACCAATAATAACAAGAATGAGCACATTCTCATCCTCATGGATATCTTCACCAAGTTCACACAGGGCATTCCCAACTGTGACCAAAAGACCTCAACTATTGCCAGAGTGGTAGTATCTGACTGGCTTGGCTGTTTTGGTGCTCCATGTCAGATTCAGAGTGATCAATGATCACAGGTGCAACTTTGAGGGCAAGATCCTACAGGAGCTTTGGAAGATCTATGGTATTGCCAAAAGCTGTAGCACCCCTATCATCTAGAGGGTAATGCGCAGTGTGAACAATTTAACTGTACTATTCACCACTGTCTGAGTACGTTGTCTCCTGACAGTAAATGGAAGTGGCCTGAGTACCTTCTGGAGCTGGTTTATACTTATAATAGCACCCTGCACACATCACAGACTAATTTCCATTGGATGAGATCCTTCCCGTATCTCCTAGGATTAACTAAACGTTCTGATGGAGATGGCCAGGTCAATGAATGGATAGCTGAGCATCACATGGGGCTAAGCCAGGCATTTGAGATGGTATCAAAGAGAACTGAGACAGAAGCACTGGGAAGAACAATGATTGATCACAAGATGAACTTTTCGAAACATTTAAGATTCTAAGCAAATGTGACAGAGTAATTATGGACAGCACGTTTCCCCTTGTAGTGGAGGTGAGAATCATGGGACACAGTACAAGAGGACTCCCTTTTATAGTAAAGATGAGATTCTTTTTCTTTCAGACAGTCATTCATCTATGGAATTCCCTTCTCCAGAAAGTAAGGTTGAATTAGATAGATTTTTAATAGATAAAGAAGTGAAGGCTTATAGTGGGCAGAGAAGAAGATGGATTTGCGACCACAATCAGATCAACCTTGCTCCTATCATGTGGCTCAAAGAGCTGAATGGCATACTCTTGCCTTCCTAAGTCCTATCATTAACACCCTTGAGGCCCTAAAAAAGCTAATTTCATATTTGTGAATGTCAAAATTCTCCAAAAGACTAACATTTCACATTTATTTTAAAAAATTGTTTAGCCTTATTTTAGCTTTTCAAACTTTTGTTCTATCTTCAAACTTAAATGTGAAGGATCAAGTGTTTTCAATTTCAAGCTTTGCTGTTTGTGAGAAAATTTAAGTGACTGATTACTCTGCTTGCTGACATCACTGCTGTTGTACACCAGGAAACCTCCGTGGCACCAGATTTAAACTTCCGTCATGAAAGTGGAAGCCCCAACCACACACATTGCCAGGTCCTTTTGGAAGTTTTCTTTAAGGTCAGTAGTGAGCCCTGTTGCTTCACCAGTGATTGCAAAATTCAGCTTAACATTTTTGAAAAGGTGCATAAATTTCTAATAGTACAGATAAATACGTTTCCTGCTGTAACAACTAGCATCAAACACAAAACGCAGGAAGTTGCTGGGAGTGAGGCAGTGGTAAGACCAATAAATTGTCTCCCTCTTTTTCATGTCAATACATTCAATAACTGCACCTTTGCCTCATATGATTGGATCAGTATTATCAACAGATTATGGAATAGTTTTGAAATAAACCCAGGATATAGGTACACATTTCTGACAATATATTCAGCTTTCTTATCCTGGAGGGCCCTGTTGTAACTGTCCCCATGACATCACAGGAGTTAGGTTACTGCTCTATTCAGCTTATCTCTCACACACATACATACACACCTGCAGGTTTGTAATTGCAGATACATTCCATTTTGTTCAAAAAGTGCACAACTTGTAGACAGTCAATGTGGCATTTTTAAAATTCCTACTTTGGAAATAAAACCAGTCTGACTCCAAGTTAATATATAGCCAAATTCTAAACAAGGCGTCACACCTAAAATGCATTGTTTGACCTGAGATGTCACCTCTGGTATACTGATAAAACCTTTAGTTATTTCAGGGCAGTGATTTGAAAGAAATTCTAGGATTTGCATATTAATCCTTTCTAACTGATTAAAAGATTTAACATTCATCTTAGGTTTGTTCAATACATTCACATCAGTTCTATGACCCTTTGATATTTTGCTTATAAATTCTGTGTCTGATGCCACCTCTCTGATACCTAAAGAAGGAGTGAGACTCCGAAAGTTTGTGTCTTCAGATAAGCCCGTTGGACTATAACCTGGCGTTTCAGCTTGTATATGACAGTTTTCCACTGATAATTTCCTAATCCATTTTGTTAACATTTCTGCTCACATTTGAGTCAAATCTCTTCTTATCTTGCTTAGTTTCATCCTTTTTTCCAATGCAGAATACCTATATTTGATTCATAGAATCCCTACAGTGTGTAAACAGGCCCTTTGGCCCAACAAGTCCACACCGATCCTCGGAGCATCCCACCCAAACCCATCCCCCTAATCTACACTTCCCTGAACACTATGGGGCAATTTAGCATGGCCAATCCACCTGACCCGCACATCTTTGGACTGTGGGAGGAAACCGGAGCACCCGGAGGAAACCCACACAGACACGGGGAGAATGTGCAAACTCCACACAGACAGTCACCCAAGGATGGAATCGAACCCGGGTCCCTGGTGCTGTGAGGCAGCAGTGCTAACTACTGAGCCACTGTGCCGCCCAATTTGTCTCATTAATATTTTCTATACTGACAGTGAACTAGGTATATAGTAGGCACTATTTCCCAAAGCGTTCTCTTACTTTGATCAATTGAATTTCCCAGAACTAAAATCAAACAATGCTTCATTCCTGATAGCACTCTCACCTAAGTCAGAAGGATGTGGGTTCAAGTTCCAGAACAGAAACTTGAACACAAATTCTAAATTGACACTCCATGCATTCACCCAGCGTCATCCTCAGATGAGACTTTAGATTAAACTACACCTGCCTCTCAGGTTAACTTAAAAGATCCCTGGACACTATTTTGAAGAAACAGCAGGGGAATTAACAGAGTGTACTCACAAATAATTAATATTTTCTCATTAATCTGTTCAGAGATGTTAATACACACCTTTGGAGCATTCAAAAAAAGGCAGCCAGTTTTAGGGTTGTTACCTTTCTGCTTATAAGATCTGTATCTTATACCCTCTCTCTCACGCTGCAGCTATGAAGGAGCTGAGCTATGAAAATTTGC